AGGGGCATAAAGAATACGAGCTAGAAAAGATTTTGTATTTCAGAATTTCTAGAAATAAATTGCAGTATCTTATACGTTGGAGATCGTATGGTCTTCAAGAAGACTCCTGGGATATTGCCTCTGATGTTCATGCTTCCAGATTAGTCAAACAGTTCCATCGACAGTATCCTCATAAACCTTCCACCCATGGAGTGGGTGCTTCGAGGGAGGGGTACTGTAACATACTCACCTTTCCTTCAGTCTCCGTCCGTGGCTCCGCCCCCTCAGATGAGGCGTCATCTGGCTCCTCCCTCATACCTGGCTTAAGGCCTCAGATTCAATTGCTTGGTGTCAGTTCAATGTGTGGACATCGGGCGATACTTACCTGCAGCTTGTCCTCACTGTGACCGCTCCACTACCCCTACTGAAGTCTTCCTTTCCTGGGCTGACAATTGCTGCTGCTCTCCTCAGCCTGTCAGACGCTGGCTGCTTTCCTTGCATCTTTCATTCCCAGAAGCTTCCCAGCTGATCCTGTGTATACCCTCCTTTGCTGCAGACAGATCCATATGCACTAATCATCCTCACATGTGCAGCTTACAGCTCTCTCTCTCTGCTATATGGATTGACTCAGCATTCATCTCTACCATCCTCTTGTGATCATCTAAGGGAATCTGCACTTCAGACTGAAAACAGCTCATGAGTTCTGAAATCAACATTACAGGCCTGCCCCACATCTTCTGGCATTGTCCTGGTGGGGTTCAGGTATGGCCCTCAAAGCTCCAGCTGTGGGGGGTGGGCAATCCAGAAACTGCATCTTTGCTGAGGTGCCCGCATGCAGTTGAACAAAACTTGACTGAATACATCATTAGGTAAGAATAAACACATTCTCTCAGAAAGAGAAAGAAACATGTCTGTCACCTAAAGACAATGGCAAAAAACTGAGCATCTGTGGTAGGGGGAAGAGTGATATAAGCTCCAAACTGCTCTGACCAGTGTCCAGTCACCTGACAATACAATATATAACTCATACATCCTGACTAGCCCTGTGTCCTGTGCTGTACAATCAAGAAATATCCAAACAGCACATGATATGTTGTAAATAGACAAAAAGTCCAAATCTTCAATGCAAAAGTGTCCAGATTGAAAACAACAATTTTGATTTACAATTTTGTTATTTTGGACATAGTAGGTGTACGGCTGGGATTTGTTATTGCATAGACACATTTTTCTATTCTTGGGTTATTTCTTTGAAAAGTGCAGAGTAATATTTTGCTTAATTAACATTAAGCACCTATATCGATACAAGTATCACATATGGTGCCGATACTGGGCTATTTAATGAGTACTCATACTCTTGAAAATGCCCGATATTGAAAACAGATACCGGCAATTTTATTTTAAAATTGGTTCGGCTGCCTCAGGTCCCGCACTTGCTGGGGACCTTGCAGCAGCCATCTGGGGAACCATGCGGTGCCGGTTTACAGTACTTCTGCCACTCATACATCTTCCCCTGCTGAGACCCTCCACATCTACCCCTGCCGAGGCCCTACGCATCTGCCCCTGCTGAGACCCTCCACATCTGCCCCTGCTGAAACCTCCACATCTGCCCCTACTGAGACCCTCTGCCCGAGACATCAGGCCGACACCCTGGAGCAGAGTGGCAGCACAGAGTATGTAGCAAATTCATATACTATTCTGCATTGCTGAATAATGTATTGCCAGGGTTTGTAGTCCTCTATGGCTGGTATTATTCTGCATTGCTGTATAGTGTATTGCTGGGATTTGTAGTCCCTCTACAGCTTGGAGTCAGTAGCAGAACTACCAGGGTCGCAGAGGTTGCATTCTTAAAATCATTCTGTGCTGTTTTAGAAAAACTGTCACCTAACACTAAAAGAAGGTATAGGTACCGTATTTGCCAATGTATAAGGCGACTGGGTGTATAAGACGACCCCCTAATTTTCCACTTAAAACATAGGTTTTGGGCTATACTCGTCATGTATGACTACCCCACTTCCGAGGCAACACCATTTAAAAACATCATGGATGGATGTGCGGTAATACTGTATGTACAGTAGCTTCAGCTACATACAATATACCGCGCTGAGCCCATCACGGCGATCAATGTATTCTATTAATGAATACAAAGCTTGCTTGGATTGGCAGAGGTTGTGTACATCGCTCGCCGTTATTGGCTCAGCGCAGTATACTGTATGTAGCCGAAGCTACCGTACATACAGTATTACCGCACATCCAGCGGGCTGACAGATTAGGGATGTCCGTTTTGGGCCAGCTTGGCCCAAACGAACTAAATGTATACATTGTATACCCGGTGTATAAGACGACCCCCGATTTTCGGGGGATGTTTTTAAGTATCAAAAGTAGTCTTATACGCCAGCAAATACAGTAATTGGTATTGGTGAGTACTTGAGGAAAAGTATCTGTACTCGTACTCTGTCTGGAAAAAATGGTATAGGAGCATCTCTAATTATAGCAATAACTACATTTAACAATATATGATGCCCAAGAAAGGGTCCAAAAAACATTTTATGAACATTCACCTGCAAAATTACATAACAAAAAGTGTGGCCTTTATTTTCTGGAGAACTGTATGACTCAGTTCGCCTGCTCCACAATATATGCAAGCACTCGTTCTAGGGGTTCAGATTGTCAGTTTTTAGAGAAAGCCTTCCTGTTACAGGTAAAACCAACATAAAACTTTTCCCTGAATACATGTAAATAAAACCTCAATGTCCGGGAAAGATGATTGTATCATATGTGAACTGAACTTTAAACCCCGAGAACCACAGTCAGGAGACCATGGATTATAGATTTGCAGCCCGCAACGACTAAACTGGCCCAGTGTGCCATTAGGATGTTTGTTTTCCTGTCATCTAACATCTTTTCTGTATTTTTAGTGCAAAACTGAATTGTCCACTGGAATTGAGAACATACTTACTTTTATTAGAACAAAGAAATAGGCCTGTATAAGCACACAATTCTGATTACTATGCTCTGATAAAAAATACACATTTCAACAATAGAAATTAAACCATCGCTATTTGCTATGTTTTGCACACCATGCAGAGTTTATAAAGGACATTTTTTTTCAAGAAGTTATAATGTCCACTTCATTCCTGCATACCAGCTTTTTTTTACTCTTCCTCTCCCCATCATAATCCCCCAAAAAAGAATTGAGAGGTATACCCCTAGGAAAACATGTCTACTAAAATATTTTCATTTGAAACAGTCAGGCAAGATGGTAGGTAAGTCATAAGCACACCAGACCGTATGCTTGCTGTTAGTCTTTGGGAGGAGGAAATGGGCTAATTTATTTAAAGATAAAAAAAACCTCCAAAAACTTGCAGAGTTGGAATGGAAAACAATCAAATCATGGAATAAAAATCAGTTACTTCCAGCAGAAATTTAAAACTGGCAAACTTGATTTCAGATATGTTTTGTGTGATTTGACACTGGATATTATATCTCAATTTGTTAGTTCAACATTTGTAGTAGTTTCTTTATTGCAGCCTTATATGTAATTCATGTGCCCCTTCTTCTATTCCCAAACTCATTTGCAACAAGTCTTTCAAAATAACCCAGAGAAAAAAAAAATTTCACATGATAAAATAATGAAAAACTGACATTGCAGGTTTTGAATTATTATAGGATTTAAAAGGAGAACTATGGGGCAAACTTTTTTGCACATAGTTCTCCTCAGGGTCACGGGAAGACATATACGGTGTCCTCCAGTGACCCAAAACTCAGTATATAGCGGGCTATTGCCCGCTATATCCTGAGAGTGCCTCAGCTGGGACGGATCTCGACAATACCCAGCTGGCTGATTGACATAGCCTCTCTAGAAGAAGAGCCAGCTGCGCCCGACTCCTCCCCCGTCTGTTCCTCCAGTCAGCACTGGAGAAACAGAGAGGGGGGATCCCTGTGGAGTCACCGCTCTCTGCAGGGAGAGGATCGGGTCAGAGATTGGCGGTATGTGTTCGCTCACTTCCCGATCAATAGAGCCGACCTGTGACAGCTTCTTTGTCACAGGTCGGCTTGAATCATGGGGATGAGTTTTTCACTCACCCTATAATTCTCCTTAGCTGAGAGCCGCACAGATAATCAGTAAGTACATGGTATAGCCCAGTGGTGGCGAACCTATGGCACGCGTGCCAAAGAGGGCACGTGGGGCCCTCTCTGCTGGCGCGCGAGCCCAGGTTCAGATGAACATAGGGGCCACCTCTGAAAATAGATCTGAGCAGGTCACAATCAGGCAGCGGCAGCCTCTAAACAAGCATATTAGACGGCCGATTGATGGGGCCTCTCGGGGTCCTAGTAAGGAGGAATTGGCCGTCTAATATGCCTGTGTGGAGGCTGCGCTGCCTGATTGTAAACCGGGATGGTTGGATCTATTTTAATTAGAGAGCAGCAGCTGTCCTCCAGGAGAGCCAAACAGCCCGGCCATGACACCCTGAGATCCGTACAGCCCCCCTGAGATCCGTACAGCCCCCCTGGGATTTATAGTCTTCTATAGTTGGTGGTATTCTGCATTGTTGTATAATGTATTGTTGGGATTTGTAGTACTCTATAGTTGGCGGTATTCTGCATTGCTGCATAATGTATTGCTAAGATTAGTTCCTTTACAGGTTGGAGTCAGTGGCAGAACTACCAGGGTCACATCGGTCAGAGCTGCAACTGGGCTCTGGTGCTCCACTACTAACTCCAAGCTTTAGAGAGACGGTTCCCTTGCAGTGTGCTATGTGACATGTACTGCAGTAGCACACTTCACTCATTAGCACAGTACTAAAGGTACATGTGTAGTTAAAACCTCTTATATTGTATTTTTCTTCTAAGATTTAAGCACATAATTAGTTCAGACAGTCATATGAAGTGTTTTTCTAAAATAAATCATCTGTATTCGGGTCTAAGCACAGGTATGGCACTTTGAGACACATAAGTTGATTTAGTGATCCTGTTTGGGCTCTCAGGCTCAAAAAGGTTTGCCATCACTGGTATAGCCTTACCTAACTCAGTATTGGACACACAGAGCTTGTGTTCTGTGTGGTACTGCATATGTAGTGGGCAACGGCAGTAGAATGAGCCTCGAGTGTTGATACACTGGCCATTGACACAATTAGACTCATCAACGCATTCATCCACATCTGAAAGATAAAGGAAGACTTACAGCATTAGTTTATCGTACATTCATAAGCTGTATCACACAAACCCTAAGTAGGAATTTAAGCTTCCAACAGTACACTAGTTTTTGTTCAATGGGTACTTTTGTGCATTAAAAAATAAATAAATAACACATCATTTTGTCACACTTACTGTATGTCTCATATATTATGTTTTTAGGCTTGGCTTTAAAGTAACCCTGTCAGCACAGGGTCATTTGTATGTACAGTATAACATACCTGTTAAAAGAAGATTGCATATACTTACTTTTCCAGTAGGCCCATTTGTTTTCTTTTAGCAGATACATTGTGCATACAAGTAATCCTGTCCTGACATAAATGAAATGTGGGCATCACTGAAACTGCTGAAATTGCTAAAAATTATCGTTTTTCAATATAACTTTTCTTCTGGCAGACCATCTAAATTGCAGTCAAGTGTCTGACACACTGAACATTTTGTGTCTTTGCACACCTGCAAAAGACAGACATAGGAAATAACCTTTCCTGTCTGCTGATGCCTTTGATTCACATGATGTGTCTAGCAAAAGTAAATTTGTGATAATCTTTTAGTTTGTAGACTCTCACGGGCAGGGCCGGGACATCCTAAAACATTTAATGTGAAAATGGCTTAATGTAGCTTAATGTACCATAATGTGCCTAAACCTCAATCAATTGCCTTGAAACGTTGCACAACCTAACTTCCCAGCTTCCCAAACCTATCCTGGATGTTTCATGGATTTTGGTTACCCACAAGGCAAATGAGTGACATTAAGCTTGTTTTTTGGGGAGCTTAATGTGGCTTTTCATACGAAAAACAACTTAGATGTTAATCGATTTCCACCAAACTTCCCATACTAAAAGACTCTCTCTATACCAACATATTCTGAAGATTTTTGATAAAACATACCAAAAGTTATTCACATTAAACTATTTTATTGCAATCCTAAAACACTTAGCTTAATGGGGACCTGGGGACGCTGAATTGTCATTACACAATGATAACTTGCCGGAGCAGGCCGCGATCTCACGGGTGGCTCCGGCTAGTTGCAATGACAGATCTGTCATTGCAACTGGCCGGAGGCATCCGTGAGATTGCAATGACTGATCTGTCATTGCAACTGGCCGGAGCCAGCCATGAGATCATGCCTGGCTCCGCCCAGCTGTAAGTTGCAAGGCTTTCGGCTGGCCAATGGCCGGCTGCTCAGCCCGCTTCAGATTTCACCTCGGCTCAGTCGAGCCGAAGCATATACCTTCGGCTCAACTGAGCCGATCGACCAAACTTTGGGAGCTATAGTAAATAGCCGTACAGCAGCCCTTCGGTTCTACTGAACCGAAGGGCTCCGGTGGCTGAAGCTAGCCAAAGGATCAGCCGGAGCTACGGCTGATCCTGCAGCTAGCTTTGTGAATAACACTTTAAATTTCTAATAGCCACTGCGCAAAAGGTAGTAGGGGCTACACAAGCCTAACGTCACTCAATAAGATGAGAGCTTAGGTTGTGCAAAGCAAATATATTCAAATTAAAGCGCTGTGGACAGATCCTGATGCTGAGTGTTGTGAGTGCAGGATTGCTAGGGGTGCTGCCCCACTTCAGCCAGGGGAACTGTAGAACTGTAAAACAAAAGAAATAGAAGGGCGCCCACCCTAGTGCAGATGATTTTTTATTTTAAAAAGACACAGAATTAAAATGCAATAGTACTCACAAAGGTGGGTCGAACAAACGCATGTATGGGTGGATTCAAAGATACATAGATTTCAGGACAGCAATTAGCCTGTGTGCCACTCGATTGTGGCGTCGTTGACACGTTTCCGGGGTCACGCCCCCTTCTTCAGAACGTCTAAAGGGGGCGTGATCCCGGAAACGCATCAACGACGCCACAATCAAGTGGCACACAGGCTAATTGCAGTCCTGAAATCGATGCATCTTTGAATCCACCCATACATGCGTATGTTCGACCCACCTTTGTGAGTACTATTGCATTTTAATTCTGTGTCTTTTTAAAATAATAAATCATCTGCACTAGGGTGGGCGCCCTTCTATTTCTTTTGTTTTAGGTTGTGCAAAGTTTCAATTGATTGAGGTTTAGACTCTATGGTACATTAAGCTCGTTTTACATTAAGCTAAGTGTTTTAGGATTGTAATAAAATAGTTTAATGTGAATAACTTTTGGTATGTTTTATCAAATAACCCAAAATCTTCAGAATATCTTGGCATAGACAGCGTCTTGTAATGTTTAAAGTTTGGCAGACATTGGTTAACATTTAGGTTGGGTTTTGTACATTAAGCTCCCCAAAAAACAAGCTTAATGTCACTCATTTGCCTTGTGGGAAACCAAAATCCATGAAACTTCCAGGATAGGTTTGGGGAGCTGGGAAGTTAGGTTGTGCAACGTTTCAAGGCAATTGATTGAGGTTTAGGCACATTATGGTACATTAAGCTCTTTTTACATTAAGCTAAAAGTTTTTGAAAAGGAATAAAATTGTTTAATGTGAATAACTTTTGGTATGTTTTATTAAATAACCCAAAATCTTCAGAATATGTTGGCATAGATAGCATCTTGTAATGCGTAAAGTTTGGCAGACATTGGTTAACATTTAGGTTGGGTTTTGTACATTAAGCTCCCAAAAAACAAGCTTAATGTCACTAATTTGCCTTGTGGATAACCAGAATCCATGAAAATTCCAGGATAGGTTTGGGGAGCTGGGAAGTTAGGTTGTGCAACGTTTCAAGGCAATTGATTGAGGTTTAGGCACATTATGGTACATTAAGCTCTTTTTACATTAAGCTGTTCACATTAAATGTTTTAGGAGTGTAATAAAAATAGTTTAATGTGAATAACTTTTGGTATGTTTTATCAAATGACCCAAAATCAGAATATGTTGGCATAGAGAGAGTCTTGTTGTATGGGAAGTTGTTTTTCGTATGTTAAGCCACATTAAGCTCCCCCCAAAAAAAGCTTAATGTCACTAATTTGCCTTGTGGATAACCAGAATCCATGAAAATTCCAGGATAGGTTTGGGAAGCTGAGAACTTGGGTTGTGCAAAGTTTTAAGGCAATTGATTGAGATTTAGGCACATTATGGTACATTAAGCTACATTAAGCCATTTTCACATGAAATGTTTTAGGATGTCCCGCAGGGCCCTCTTCACCATCTTGTCTTGATATGTATTGTAACTGACCAACTGTATTGTAAAAGTCCAATGATGCTTTGAAAGACTCTGGCATCCTCAGGCATGACTCCAGGAGGCAGAGGAATGATGGGATTTGTTTTTGCACAAGTGCAAAGTTTGCCTACCCCTGCTCTATTGCAGCATGATATGTGAATTCCGTTGGCCTGTTCTTCATAAATTTATCCTTGCTAATTTTACAACACTATCAAAAATCACCACTTCCCCTCTAAGTCTGCAGTTGCTTTCACAAAGAACGTCCCAACGATCTCAAGGTCCACAGGTTGTTGTTTTATGCAACCACATTATCTCCATGTGTGATACACTCAAAAACTCTCATTCTACTTAAAATATAAACACCCGGTCCACAGTGGATTCCAAGTGCAAATAAACTATTGCATTTACAATATACTCCTCACAGCAATTCCTCTGCTGCATACAGAATACTGTATTTTACAGAGTAAGATGTTACTTTCCTTATGCCACTCGGTTCCAATACAAAAAGAAATCCGCTATCTTTGAACAGTGCCTTATATGTGGTATATATGGTTATGTGAGATATCAAAGCGATCTCCTGGCTGAATTATCCATTGGTCTCAGCTCCCACGTGACCCACTCCCAGGGCAGCTGCGAACATCAGCTTAGCCTCCAAACCTCTTTATACTATTTCAGACTCTGCAAGGTGGCAAGTCCAAACAAAATATTGCAGAACTATTCTGCGAACGCTGTCCTTGCCACCAATGATGCATCCCTGGTCTATTCAGCAGCCGGCCTGGAGATTCCCGGGTCGACATGTGAATGTAAACAAATGGGTGGGAATGCTGGCTGACCTCACTGACCCAACACAGTCATTGCCCTATCTGGGTAATGACTCAGCCAGCATTCCTGGCCACTTTGTTCAATCATTAAACTGCTGACAGAGGAATCTTCTGGCTGCCAGCTGAATGGGCAAAGGGATGCATCATTCGTTGCTAGGACGCCAGTGGCTGCCAGCATCCTATCAAGCAATGAGTTCTGCGAGCCGAGCTGTCACATCATGAAAACTTCCCAGCGCAAAGATGCCCTGCTCTTTACTACATAGAATCCCCACTGTGTAGCAGAGAGCAGGTCATGTTTGCGTATCTGTCCCTGTATGCTAACTTAGGTGCAGGACTATTTAAAGGGACCATAGCAACAGAAAATCACCACTGCTGGTTTTAAAATCCTTTTTTACATTTTGTACAGTATGTGTTGCTACTTAACCCTGCTTATAGCAGAGGAATATTCAGTAATCTGTAGCATATAAAATCAACTACATTAAAATGGAGTATACCGTTATATTTTTCGGTACTACACTATTACCCATAGTGTATTAAGAAAATCTACAGTGGTCTAGTACTGCTCAGAGTTGGTCTGCATCTACTGCTTTTCTGATAAACTCCAGTTACAGTTTCACTCTATTTTCTTACCCATACATTGTAGTAACCGGGTGTCATAGTAGTAGCCATGTTTGCAGTAACATTCATAGCTGGGTTGCGTGTTCACACACTTTCCTTCTTTGCAGATTTCTTGTCCAAACAGTTCACACTCATCAATATCTAGAAAAAAGAACTTTAAATAACTGATAATTTTCTGTCTTCTTTCTGTTCTTTTCCCACAACTATCTGAAAATGTAATTTAATTTACATTCTCTACATTTACATACTGTACATAGATTATAAAATATCTGCACTGAAATAATTTGATATTTTTTACATTTACCATTTGTTATGCTACAAAATAAAGTTATTGATCTTGTTATCAGCTAGAAGGTTTAGGACTTGTTCACACCACCAGCAGTGTTCAGGTGCATTTTTTAAACACATCCACAATGCAAGCACAGTAACTTCAATGCTTTACAATCAGCCTAGTTCACACCATTTTGTTCAGTTCCAGTGCTTTCCAAAAATGTACAGCAGCATGCATAGTTTTGCACTTGAACACACCTAAACACATGTAAACGCTCTGGAATAGGCTTAAATACAAGTGACAATAATGTTTGCATATTAATCAAGATTATTGACTAAAAGAAAAGTAATGTAATGCATTATAAATGTGTCAAAAACAGGTTGGTAACGTATATAAATACGCGTGTGGAAATGCACACTGAACACAGGGATTATGGTGTGTACTAGGGATGCACCGATACTAGTATCGGTATCTGTGCCGATACCGAGTATTTGGGCGACTGCTTGTACTCGCCCAAATGTTCCGATACCTTCCCCGATACTGGAACTTCCGGTCAGAGTGAGATTTCCTCTGACCGGCAGTGTCATGAGGGAACATTGATCCGGCTTCCCGGCCAATCAGGAAGCCGTGCGGCGGGTAATGACCCACCTTCTGGCTTCCTAATTTGCCAGGAAGCCAGCTCCACGCTGATTGGCAGGGAAGACGGCTTCCTGCGCAATCGGCATGGAGCCGGCCAAAGAGCATGAAGCCGGCTTCCTGGCCAATCAGGAAGCCGGCGGCGGGTAATGACTGGCCGGGAAGCCGGATCTATGCTGATTGGCTGGGAAGAGAGCTTTCCAGTCCAATCAGCATTGTGCCAACCAAACGGCATAGAGCCGACTTCCTGATTGTGCCACCCTTCCAGAGGCGGCTCTAGAGTTTGCGAGGCCTTAGGCGAAACCTAAACATGAGGCCCCACTCAGGCCTGTGGGGTCTCACCGGGCTGTCGGGTTTAACCAGGATGGTGAGACCCCACAGAGCCCTGGTGAGATCCCAAAGACCCCTGGTGAAATCCCAAAGAGCCCTGGTTAAACCAGGGTTCTATATGGAAAAGGGATCTCACCAGGGCTCTGAGGGTGGTCTCACCAGGGCTCTGAGGGGGGTCTCACCAGGGCATTGTCACTAGTTTTAATGGCACCCCAAGTGCACCTCCTGCCCACAATGCGATTACTGCGCCGCAATGTGCAGTACCACAATACCTTGCGTTGTGGTGTGATTGGAAAAAAATACTGCATGCACTACTTTTTCTAATCACACTGCAATGCATGGTATTGTGCTACCACATGTTGCAGTGCGGCCAATTGCATTGTGGGCAAAAGGTGCATTTGGGGTGCCATTCAAATGAGCAGAGCAGAATCTTCCCTCCAGCAGCTATTGTGACCCCTGTTAAGCTTGACAAAATGGCGCTTACTCCTTTCACTGTCCAGTTATGGGGGAAGGGTGGAGCGGAGACTTGTAGGTAAAAGTGAAAGTGCAGCAGAGAAAGATTAGGTTCTCATCTCTCTCTGCCAGGCAGGACTTTGCTGTGTGGCAGAGCTGAGTAAATCTTAGGAGTGAATGGACACAGGTGCAAATCCTTTTGACAACTATTATATGTATGTTTTTTTATCTGTGTTTTTAGCTGTTTGCCTTGAGTTCAGCTTTAATCCAGTTGTATTCTCACCCCTAAAGCCATGGTCAGCCCCCACTGACTTTCCCCCCGTTGTCTGTGGTCTGCTAACACTGCTTTTTTTATTCCTCCCACCCAAAATTGTGCACAATTGAGAATGATGAAAATGATTATATGTACCAGCACCATATAAATACTGGAAATAAATAGAATAAAGCCCCTTTCACACTGGCCGATCAGGAGAGGGTCTGTCAGAACCTCTCCTGATCAGAGCGGCACAGATCGGATGTTGCCGCTGTGACATCCCTGTCCATACAGTTTTTTCCTCCATCTAGTGATAGAGGAAAAAAACTGAAAGTGCCGGACCCCATGCAAGTCTATGGGGAATCTGATGTTTACATCAGATTACCTCTGGTCTAACACGATCCAGTCCATCAAAACGGATCAATAATCTGTCTGTTTTACCCGGCCAAGCCAGGGCTAACCAGGTGTAAACAGACTCTCGTCCGTTTAAACCTGGCTGCCCATAGACTTCCATAGAGAGTACGATCGGGTCCAGCTGAAAAACTGACAGGCGGACCTGTCATGTGAAAGGGGCCTAAAGGTGTAACACATTTCAAGCCATTTGTATTTATGAAAAACAGAGCTGTAATTGGGCAGGATTCAATTGCTTTCAACCAATTATCCCGTGATCACATTGAAAAGGACTAGACAGGTTGTTAAAGTTTTGGGTTCAGTTTTACAACGTTAGAAACTGTTCAGCTCTAAAAAATGTAAATCAAAAGTAATTAATATATCACTTACCTCGATATGTGGGAATGCCATAACTCATAATGTCTAGGTCAACAATAAATCCAACACCATCAGGACAGAGAGTGAGGAATTCCACTGAAAAATTTCATAATTTAAATGAACAAATATTCATGAACATTAGGCCTTTGGAAGCTACTGCTTCCATTCTTAATAGTATGGTGATTAGCAGTTGTGTAAGGCATGGGGACAAGAAAATAAATCAGGCAAGGTAATTCACCTTTGTTTACGTTGAAGAGCTTTGTTAATGTATTCTAATTAGACTCCTCTACAGTGCACGTGCTGAAAGGGAACATGCTGATTGGAGGAGAACGATATCAGGGGCATATATAAAAAATGGAGCAAACAGAATCTAAAGCAGTTGCCCAAAGTAACCAATCAGCTTCTTTAATTTTCAAAGCTTTATTGAACAAGCTGAAGATAAAAGCTGCTTGTTTGCCATGGGCAACTGCTCCAGATTCCACCTGCTCCAGTTTTCAATTTAAATTCCCATCATAGGTGAGCAGAGTGATAACTCATCACTGTACTGCTGTTCTTTCTTGTTATCAGGTTGGGGGTTAGTTTTTTTATCATGCTGTGTTGTCACTAAAGTGAAGGGGGCGATGACTTGGTTGCATTGGTAGGGATGCTTGAATCACAAAACAAGCTACAAAAAATGTACAAACCCTGATATGTTATCAGGTCACATATACTGTATGTATTTCAAATGTGTATTTGGCTGTTTGTCTGAAGTTCAGCCCTAAATAATCTGTTTCTTTTTCTGTTCCAGTTGAGGAGATTTCCAACCATTTAATATCACTGTAACTGTGACACTGTGACAAGAGGTGAGGGCAAATCAGAGATACAGGCATCAATGAAAACATGAGAGGTAGAAACTCTTTCCCATGCTATTCACATTAGAAAACAGAAAACATATCAAATGTTTAAACTGAGAAAAGTTTACATTTTAAGAAATAAATAATGTAATTTTGAAAATAATAGCAGCAACACGTCTCCAAAAAAGTTGGGACAGGGCCATGTTTACCACTGTGTAGCATCCCCTCTTCTTTTAACACACTCTGTAAATGTCTGGGAACGGAGGAGACCATTTGCTGGAGCTTTGGGAGATGAATCTTGTCCCATTGTTCCCCGATATAGAATTCTAACCGCTCAACAGTCCTGGATCTTCTTTGTCGTATTTTTTATTTCCAGCTGCTGCAAATATTTTCAATTGGTGAAAGGTCTGGACTGCAAGCAGGCCAGTTAAGCACCTAGACTCTTCTGCTATGAAGCCATGCATCTAATGCAGTTTAGCATTGTCCTGCTGAAATATGTAAGGACTTCCCTAAAAAAGATGTTGGTTGGAAGGGAGCATTTGCTGCTCTCTAACCTAGATATATCTTTCAGCATTAATGGTGCCGTTCCAGATGTGAAAGCTGCCCATTCCATATGCACTAATAATAAGCCGGAAGGTCCCTCTTCTGTTTAGTCTGGAGGATGCGCCACCCATGGTTGCCAAAAAGAACGTCAAATTTTTATTAGTCTCACCACAAAACAGTTTTCCACTTGACGACCTACCATTTTAAATGAGCTTTGGCCCAGAGAAGATGCCTGCGTTTCTGGACCATGTTCAGATATGGCTTCTTCTTTGAATGATAGAGCTTTAACTTGCATTTTTGAATGGCACAGTAAATTGTGTTCACAGACAGTGATTTTTGGAAGTATTGCTGAGCCCATTTAGTGATGTGCTTTACAGAATCATGCCTGTTTTTAATGCAGTGCCGTCTGAGGGCCCCAACATCATGGGCAGTAAATATTACTTTTGAGGCTTGGCCCTTGTGCACAGAGATTTCCCCAGATTCTCTGAGTATTTTGATATTATGTACTGTATTTGCGTCTCACCAGGGCAGTGTACAGATGTCGCCAGGCTGCGTTTGCGTCTCACTAGGCTGCAAACAGATGTCCCCAGGGGTGCATTTGCGTCTCACCAGGCTGCGTACAGGTGTCACCAGGGTTGCGTTTATGTTTCACCAGGGCAGTGTACAGATGTCACCAGGCTGCGTTTGCGTCTCACCAGGGCAGTGTACAGATGTCACAAGGCTGCGTTTGCGTCTCACCAGTGGAGCATACAGATGTCACCAGGCTGCATGTGGGGCTCTGTAAGTGGGCGCCGGCTGAACGATTGGGTGCCGATCTTCTGCCACCTCCGGGGCTGTTTGATCAGTGTGGGGCTCTGCTTGGCTGTGCCTGCGCCGGGAAGGAGGAGAAGGAGATATTGGGGCTGGACAGACACAGCCAAGGACAGCTACTGCTAGGTCCCCACAAGCGCGGGACCTCGGCAGCTGATTCATTAAAAACATTTAACCTCCCTGGCGGTATTCCCGAGTGTGCGCTGTGTCCTCCAGCCGATGCCGGCATCCGTCTTCCGGGTTCTGTCCCTTGTGAGCGCCTGCATCGCAGGGGGGCGGAACCGGCGGGAGATTTAAAAATAAATATAGAAAAAAAGGAATACAAAACAGAAGAAAAAAAGAAATAAAAAACTGAGATAAATCAGACCGCCAGGGAGGTTAAAGGGCCAGTATTGGCTTTTAGAATCAAGGCATTTTTAGGAGTACAAGTACTCCTGAAATGCTAGTATCGGTAGTGGGACATCCCTATTGATGGGGATCTACATCGCTGGACGACATGATTGACCATTTGATTGCTTCGATGGACACTTGTTTGTGGTTTTTTTTTACTTAATAAAGAAATTGTCAAAAGCTGTCTTGTGTTTTTGTTCAAATAAAGGACTTTTTCAAGGTGTGATGTGTTTATTTACTATTTTAATTACTATTGGTGAATGAGTAGGGGTAACAACTACTGCCTACTCATTTACAAGGGGAAGGCGGCATCTGGGTGCTCCCTTTAGGTTTTATTTTTGAAAGAACAGCAAAATTTGGCTGCTGAAAATGTTCTGACAAAAATGGTACTTTAGTAGTAATGCCGAAAATGAGGCTGAAAATTCAGTGCACTCAGATTCCTGTTGCTCTCCCCCACCTGTTTGACAGCTTCCTTTTCATTCATAATAGGGGCTGCAGAAAAAGAGATTGAGGACTCTGTGTCTTCAGTCTCTTTTTCTATTTTAAAAGGGAAATATCAGGGACTGTTTAGACCCCTGATATTTTCCAAAAAGGTATATTCCAAAATCACTTTTTTAAAAGGAGCCAGCTATAACAAAATATACAAATATTACAGAAACACAAACCTTTCCTGCCTTTTTTTTCAAACCCAGACAAAAACAAGTCTTTCACAGCTTTACTGATTTTTCCCTTTAGGATTCCTATGTATGAAACCAAAACTATTCTTAAAAATACAACATATTCGACCACTTATATGAGCAGAGAATGGTTAGCAGCAAAGATATTGCTCTCTAAAATGTTATCCAAAGGACATTGGTTAAAAACGAAATGTTTTATAGTCTGAGTGTTCGTAATGCAATGATTAAAAAAACTTGTATGGGTATTTCCACAAATACAATATCAGAAACTTCTTTTATACTGCTTTTTTTTGTTCATTTTAATCCCCGTTATTGTGTTTGGGAGTCCTCAAATACTGCAAAACTTGCAAACTGCAAATGCTTCAGCATTTTTCTCTCCTGTATTAAAAAAAATGCCCAAGCTCTACATACCCTCTCCACTCTCCAGCACTGTTCCCTGCAGGCTCAGTGTAGCACTGCCATTCCTCTCCAGGCAAAATAACAGTCAGCATCATTCTACATGTCATAATGCAGCCTGGGTGCTCCCAGACTGAGCGGTGCTCATACATGATTATGTGAGCCTGCTCAGTCCAGAGAAGGAAAGACCTGTGATATCACTGGACTGGACTGGATAGAAGAGTGGAAAAATTAGTTTAGAGCTGTTTTGTTTAACAACAAAAAAAAAAAAGATCTGGGGGCACCGGGGGATGGGGATGGTCACTTTTAGTCAAGATACCTGGAGTTCCATTTTAAGCTTAAGTTATAGTCATATTAAAGCATATTTACACTCCAAAATGTAAACAAATGCTAGAAGTTACGGATTTATGAAAAAATTTCCTTTTTCCGCAAGCAATTTTTTATTTTCTGTGTAAACTATATGATGCATGGTGCCATCAGTGACTTGAGACCATTGCCACTGGACTCAGAAGCATTGGCAGTGGAGATGATGGCGGCGTAGGATGCAGCGGTGACAGGTGCCTGGACCCTTCACCACTGGAGAACAGCACAGAGGGAGGTAGGCATGTATCATATTCTGCAAGTATGCTGTGGATTTTTGCAGATTATGGCAAACGCTCACCTCCCACCAACAAAGCTTACTTCCACTTTAAAGAGCCAGTATCACAAACAAATATATTCAGATATACAGATACACATTGAGAAAAAATATATTATAAAAATTAAGGTGTACCTGAGTGGTGCACAGGGCAAGGGTAGATCTCACAGTGGTCACCCCATCCTGCCCCCAAAGAACAGCAGCATTGCTCTTTTGTTACATTTACAGCAAGAACACTGTCACAGAACAGAGTGTCATCCAGACTCAGAAAGCAGTCTCGAAGATCCAGTCCACGGGAAACTTCTTTATAGGGGGAAAACAGAGAGTATGTGAGAGACAAGTTGGCAGATCTATCTATCTCGAATACATCAAATATTAAATAGGATACACACCCTCACATTTCTTGTGGTCCTCAGTAGGTGCATAGCCAGGGTCACAAATACACATATATGATCCATCCAGATTCTCACATTTGCCATGAGGTGAGCAGATTTCGGAGAATAGGGAGCATTCATCTATTTCTGGAGATGCAAAAATCAAGAAAGTTTGAATGAAAATTAAATTTCCCATTTTTGTGCAGCCAACTAAGATTTTCTAAACCTTCCTAAAAAATTCAAAGTTTGCTTTTTGTAACCATGGCACCAACATGGACTTCCCAGAATTTTAATCCCCCTGTTCTTGCAATCAGCTGTTTTTCAGACATCTCTATCCTGTCCTTAGGTTTACAACAGTAAGTCTTTCATCTTGGTTGAGATACTTGCCAAATACTTTACACATCTAGAAGGATGCTACTACTTTGTTTCTTTTTACATGATTACAGAAGGTATTCCCTACCACTTAGCACATATTCAGAAAGCACAGAGGATTGGCCTGTCAGTACCAAGTGAACAGATGCATGAAAAAGTCTGCAATAATATGTTCTAAAATATTTACAAGGGATATAGTTGACCTAGACAGAATTGTTGTTCTTCTTTCAATAAACAATTTACTTTTAGTTTGTAGAAAGCTGTCAGAACTATTGGGCAAAAAGGAATCAATTTCAAAGGCCTATACATATTATTTTACAGATTTGTATGTGGGCATCGTGGTAGCCATTTTTTCTGCTTGCAAGTTTATTCTTCTTGGACAAAGACTCACAGAGAAGTTTAGGACTGTTCGCATAAACATTCTCAGGTCGTAAATTGTGGGGGTCTCAAGACACGCATAAGATAAGGATTGTGCCAGCATATGTAGGTTAAGATTAATGACTTTCATGCCTCTATTGAGGACAATCTACAGAGACTGGAATGTCTAAAGATTTTTTTTTCACTTTCAATGAATAGAAGATGGGGCTGATTTAAAAATTGCTTATGAAACCTTACTATTCATTGCAGTGATAAGATTGGCAATAATGTTATTATATTATTATATTATATGCAGCATCTATATGCCTATTTAATTGACTAATTTCAAGTAAATATTTTTACATGTACTTTTATAATATCCAAACTATATTCATTATATATTGTTTGAGTGTACCCATTGAAATATATTTGCGTGTATTATTAAGATGGGGGTTTTATATTTTTAAGTACATAGAATTAAGGTGGTATACACCACTGTATTTTTTTTATCTGTGAAAAGCCAATGTGTCTTGAAGTAATTACCTCACCTTAAAAGTATTTGGAGAAAGAATGTTGATTGCTTTAGGTTAGACTTTCTTAAAGTCACAAATCCACGAAGAGACGGTCAGTTGGACAAGAAGCTGTCATAGAATGACCTCCCACTATATTTATGGATTTGTACAAAGCTTAACTCAGAGGTTATCTTTCAACAAGATCTTTACAAAATAGTAAAATTAAATGAAATTACCTAAACTTTTACATAGAACAATAGTGCCCCCTTGTGGTGATTGTGAGGGAGAGGTATATGGTAAATTGATATATCTGCCATCATTAGTCACGTCAATAAGCACGTGGAAGACCAAACCAAACCCACATTCCATGGGGCGATAAAAGTGGTAGCAGGAGCCAGCAGAGGGAAATCCAACAAAGGGAGGCAGTAAGGAAATACATTCTAAGGGTATAGGTTGGAAGCTGAGGATGGCTGTCCAAGGAAACTGAACTAAAGAGAACCTGACCATCCCTTTCTGAACTGTGACCGCTGACTTCTTTCAGACAACTAATTTTAAATTTCTGGTAAAGTATAAATTTCTATATTTCTGTAGGCAATTGATTAGCCACATATATATTTGGATAGACCATTAGTTCTTGTAGGATCTGGATTGATTTGAGATCATTTTTAACTGCAGTACAAATTATGTCTTTCAATCTTGGGAGATAAATATATACATTTGTTATATACATTTGTATAATCTCCAGGAAACTGATTTCAGTTTCTAGTCAATGGTCTAGTCTGATATATATTGAATTAAATTGGTGGAATTTTTTTTCTTTACTTTGAATATAGTCTTGGCTTATAGTCAACCCTGTGCATGATGGGACAAATCTTGCCCATGCGCTGTTAAAAGTTTGAGTTGTGAATATCTGTTGCTGGGAGAAGTCACATGTCAATTCTGAACCTTTTGTTTTCTTATTCTGTGAGCTACTGATAAGATATCCATTGCATTTAAAAAGTTGTACATTTATATTTTGAATAATATCCTGTGGTAATAATGTTACACATTACCTGTGTTATTAAATTAATTGAAATTATTTGATCCTTATTCTTTGTTTGTCACCAATTATATTTTTATTATTATTCTGCACTGATTGTTAATTAATAAATATATATATTTTGTATACAATTGTATTCATCTTGTCTTCAAGTTAGCGCAAATAAAAGAACTTGTGTACATTTTGATTTATGGAAATAAGTTGGGAATCTCCTTAATTACAGATCCTTGCTTGTTTTCATAAATAAAAAAACTGTTTATCCGAGCAGTATAAACATTCTGACAAAGCATGATTACTAAATTACCTTGACATGTATGTTGATTGTGCAGTCTATAACCTGGAGGGCACACGCATCGGAAGGAGCCAGGGGTATTTATACACTGTCCTCCTATACATGGCTGTAATGTTGCACACTCATTGATGTCTGAAAAATATATACGTAGGCTAATATTGTGAAATCATTTAATAACAATTTGATCATTAGTTTTGGAGTAAGCTTATATCAATCTATATTATTTTATTTAGTTCATCTACAAACCAATACAACTTAAATTGAGTACATTATAATGTATCATGCAACCTTGATCACATATAACACAGTACTTTTGTTCCCACATTCTTAGCTGTGACCTGTCAGCCCACTTCTGGGCTTAGCAATAAACTACTCAAAATTCCCCAACAGCCACGCCTGTTGGGTAATAAACTCTCGGTTTTGACCCATCAGCTGGCCAGACTCACCGTATTGAAGTAACAATGAAGTGAGTCAAAACACAATTGTGCATTAGTATCCTAACTACTGGATCACAGGTGATGATGAACCATCAGGTGCCCACTTTCCCATTTTCTGCTTTGACTCATAGCTTCCCTAGAACCTCACTGGTGTAGTTGAAGCAGATCACAAATCGCCACAGATTTCCCGTTCTCTCTGTAGAGACTCAACAATAAACCATAAAGCGTTGTGTAGAGTCAACTGCACTCCATACAGTGTATTGACCTTTATATTATCAATTGTGGTGCTTGCAGAGATAAATCCGATAATTGCATACATATACAGTCATGTCCAAAAATATTGGCATTTCTGTCAGATAATGCACCACTTTGGGCAGAAAATTTTTGCAATTACAAATGTTTAGGCAATCTCATGTTTATTTATTTTGTTTGTATTGGTATGACACAAAAACGTGGAGAAAAAAAGCCAAATCTGACACATTCCATGAGAATGTCTAAACATTTGTAATTGCAACAATTTTCTGCCCAAAGTGGTGCATTATCTTTTTTTTTTTTTTTTTATTTTATTTTAGCGTTTTCATAAAACAGGTCATCACAAACAAAACACAATACATAAATCAGCTATCACATATCTTTTCCACATGTGAGATCTAGACTGGGCCCAACCAGCCCCAAATAAATTCACAAAGTAACCTGAGCATAGTAAGAGCATATAGGGAGGGTCTGGGGGCTGCGTATAGGCAATGGAAAAGGACTGTCGCAGTGGCAATATTTCATCTACACTATTAGGCGAGACGTGCGATGTTTCCGAGCTACGCGCAGTCTGAGGGAGCTGGCTATCATGAGCGAGGTCACCCGAGAGTGTTATGTAGATATTGGCCACTGTGAGATAGCCGAGCACTTCCGACAAGGACAAGACAAGAACGGAGGGTAGGAGTTATTGGTGGTGTATAATGGTTAAATGATTCAGCTTCTATCATTAAGTTTCAGAGTAACTGTGCATCATAGGCAGTCTGACTCGACACGTTTAGTACATTTAGGGACACAGAGATCTTACTCAATTGGGAGACAGTAGGGATCCAAGTAGGGACTGTCAGAGGGGCACATTGTATGTTAGAACCAGCGGGGGGAGGAGGTGAGGTGAGTCATTCCCCCCCAGTGAAACAAGGGGCCCACTGGGAGACCATCAAAGTTCCATATTCTGGGGAGAAGAGGAACTCCAGCCAGTAGAACCATATCTTCCTAAATTTGGCATCCGTGTGATGCAAAGTGGCGGTCAGTTCCCCCATCACACGGATCTCATCCACTTTAGTGAGCCACAGTTTCACCGAGGGAAGAGCAGGACTCTTCCAGCATAGCGGTATGCAGGCTCTCGCCGCATTAATCAGGTGAATCAATAGGGATTTGCGGTACCGAGACCTGGATAAGGAGGTCCGATGTAGCAGGACAGCTGACGGGTCATCCACCAAGGAAACCCCGGTTAACTGAGTGGTGATACGGAGAACAGCATCCCAAAACTCTCCAAGCCGCGGACACGACCAGAAAATGTGCAAAATAGAGCCCACGTCTTGCTCGCATCTCCAGCAGGTCAGAGAGGACTGAGGAAACATCTTGTGGAGTTTGGCCGGTACAAAGTACCATCTTGTAAGTATTTTGTAGCCTGATTCTTGAATGGAACTGGCTATGGAGGCTTTATGTGCAAAGTGTAATACCGTGTCTTTTTGTTCCTGAGTAAAGGTCAGGCCCAAATCTCTCTCCCATTTGGCCAGGAAGACCGGATCATGGGTAAGCGGCGCTTGGGTCAGTACGGCATGTGCTGCGGCTAGGCCATGCTCCACATACTCTCCCTGCACACACCTCTCCTCAAAAGGGGTCAGGTCAACGCGCGGAGGGGAGGAGCCCAGCACACTAGAGAGGAAGTGGCGTAGTTGTAGGGCTTGCCATCTCAAAAGGGGAGGGTTCACCTTGGTGGCCAATGTTTGTAAACACAAATAGTCTCGAGCAGGCCAGAAGTGTCCGATACGGAACTGGTTAGATCGTCACGAAACGAGTAAATGCTCTATCCTCAAGACCCGGAATGAAAACTGGGTTGCCGATCACAGGGGTCATCAATGATGGGGACGTGCCAGTGGAAAGTAAACCGGACGAGGCCCGAAGGACTTTAAGTGTGTTACCTGCCAGCGGATGTTGAAGAAGTTCTCGGGATGGTAGCGTCCCAGTCCATAGCACTCATGCCAGGGACCAAGGAGAGGTGGTTTGTTCCAGTTATTCCAGTTGAAGCCAGCGTTTGTCTGAGGAAACTTTGCACCACTCACAAGCCCTGGCCATGTGAGTCGCCAGGTGGTAACGTATGGGGTCTGGGAATCCGATCCCCCCCCCGAGACTTGGGCAGTGCTAAGATGGTTTTATTTAGTCTGTGTGCGCCGTTTGCCCACAGAAAGGATGTAAACTCCCTACATACCGATTTCAAGAATGAGATTGGGATCCGGACGGGTAGTATTTGTAAAAGGTACTGGAGCCTTGGAAGAATATTCATCTTAAGTACGCTGTTCCTCCCGAACCAGGACAACGTGCGCTCCGACCATTTTGCTAGATCCCAGCGGACAGTGGTCAAGAAGGGGGGAAAGTTCGACTCGAAGACCTTGTCTATGGACGCTGGGATGTTCGTCCCAAAGTAGGTGATGTGGTCCAACGCCCAGCGAAAGGGGAAAGATGAGCTCAGACCAGTCATGGTGGAGGTGGAGACTGAGGTTGATCGCTTCAGATTTCTGTAGATTTATTTTGAAATTGGAGAGCTCTCCGTAGTTTGTCAGTTCCCGCATTAAATTGGGCTGACAGACAGTAGGTTTGGTTAAGAAGAACAGTAAGTCGTCTGCATACCCTGCAATTTTGTGAGAGTTGGGTCCCTGCAGGAGGCCAGAGATATCGGTGTTAGCCCTAACTTTACAAAGAAGCGGTTCTAATGTCAGGATATAAAGTAAGGGGGAAAGTGGGCAGCCTTGTCTGGTGCCATTTGACAGTGCAAAATAATTAGAATGGAGTGGAGTAAATGGCTGATATCCAGCGGCACATGTTATCCCCCAGTCCTATTGCACCTAATGTTGACCGGAGGAACGCCCAGTCAACACGGTCAAAGGCTTTTTCAGCGTCTGTCGATAATAGAATAGTAGGGATGTGTCTATTTGACGCCAGGTAAATTGCATTTAGCACTCTGACCGTGTTATCCTTGGCGTCCCTCCGCGGGACAAAGCCTACCTGGTCTGCATGTATCAGCCGGCATATCACCGTCAATCAACGATTGGCTATAATCTTGGAAAATAGTTTTAAGTCGACGTTCAACAAGGATAACGGACGGAAACTAGAACAGAGCAAGGGTGGTGCATTATCTGACAGAAATGCAGGGTGCCAATATTTTTGGCCATGACTGTATATTCTAAGATTTTCAATACACAATAGGACCAAAATTATGATCACAACAAAAACTATATATATAATCATCATGTATATTATAGAGGGGTATTACCACACATTAACCCTATCCATATAAATATAAATGTAAAATGTGTTATTAATTATCATCAAAAGGACAATTGAGATAACATTTTGCATTCATCCCATTAGGTTTCAGTGGGCTTGATTTACTAAAATGAGCCATGTTCATGTTGCAAGTATATTTTCACTTTTAAAGGGAATTTTCACCATATTCACTAAGCTATGAATATCATGTGCAAGCAAAAAAAAACCAGGAATTTTGCTTGCACATGATTGGATGATGAAAGTCAGCACAGTTTCCCCGCATTCACCAAGCCAAGTTAAATTTCTCTTGCAAAGTGAAAATTATGCTGCTAAGTTAACATGCTTTGCTCCTTTAGTAAACCTTGTGTCTAGCTAATGAATCTAGTATGATACCTCCTTTTCATATTAGGTTTCTTCAAGATTTTTTTTTTCAATAGGAACACTGCAATTGTCTTTCATTGCTTGTAAGTTGTATGTTTGCTGATTCTGTCCCTCTTCCTCATGGTGCAATTGAAGTATAATTTAATAAGCATTTAGGGACATAAACAACAAACCTATTATTACCTGTTATAAATATATTTATTTTCATTTTTGTACCATTAACCACTTGATAACCGGGGTGTTAAACCCCCTTCCTGTCCAGGTCATTTTTCAGTATTCAGCGCTGTGGTACTTTGACATTTATTTCGTCATGCAACACTGTACTGAAATGAATTTTATAATCATTTTTGTGGATAAATAGAGCTTTCTTTTGGTGGTATTTAATCACCACCGGGATTTTTTTTTTAACTATATAATAAAAAAGAGCCCAAAACTTTGAAAAAAAAACTGTTTTCCCTACGTTATGTTATAAAACATTTATTGTTAAGCAATTTTTTGTTAAAATATAAAAGACGGGGTCATGTCAGGTAAATAGACACCAAACATGTCAAGCTTTAAAATTGTGCACGCCCGCGAAATCGCAAAAAACTACCATGCCTAAATGTGGTCATAGGCAATAATTTAAAAGCTTTTACCCCTCACCAGTATAGTGTTATCAGTGATTCATGGTCCTAGAATTATTGCTCTCACTGCGACGTTTGCGGCGATATGTAACATGTGTGTCGTAATCGTTGTTGCACGTAGGCACACCCAACGCGCATTTAAGTTTATAAGTGCGTGCACGCGGGGGTGGGGAACTTACAACTTTTTGGGGTGTTTTTACATTTTTTTAATATGAGACTTTCATCTTTTTTTTTTACTTTTTTTTTTTACACTTAACTTGATTGCTATCACATAAGGGGCTCAAAAGCCCACAATGTGATAGCTAGAAAACAATGACAGGTCCTCTTTGGAGACATCAGGGGTCCCAGTCGGGACTCATTTTTGTAGCAAGCAGTACATGAGTGGATCACAGAAAACAGAGGAGAGGGTTAGGTGTCCTGTGATTTACTCCAAGAAATTGATTTTACAGGTACAAAGAGAGGGAACAAAATGAGTTAGATTCCTTAACCAATGGAACATCCAAAAGCAGTCCAGCAGAGGGGCAGGCAATGCAGAAAACAATGGCTAACAGGCATAAGAAAAACAAAGACTAACCATAACAAGGAACCAAAGCAGAATGGGTCCACAGTTCAGAGGGCTACCTGAAGAACCCAGGCATCCACAGAGGTCTGAATGTCTACCTGGTAAAATTTGGCATATGTGAGCAAAGGACCAGGTAGCAACCTTGCAGATTTGGGAAACCGAAATCTGATGTTGGAAGTACTAACACTAGAACTATTAGCCCTAGCCCAAACCAGAAAGGGGGGAACTTTACTCTTAATGTCATAGGCCTCAACAATGGTTCAGCAAATCCACCTAGTGATAGAGCAATGAGGAACTGCTGCCCTGTACGGGGACTCTCAGACTGACAAGAGGAATCAGACTTGCAGATGAAGGACGGAAGGCAACCTTGCAAGTGAGTAGGGTCAGGGGGATATCTCAGAGAGTCTCAAAGGGCAGTTTCCGCCGTACCAACAGAATTAAGTTGAGGTCCCATGGAGTCAGCGGAATGCATACAGGGAACACAACATAAGCAACTCCCTGCTCAAAGGCTCTTGCTAGACAGTGAGAGGCAAGTGGCCTCTGGAAAAGAATTGCCAAGGCAGAAATTTGGCCAAACGCTGGTCTAGGCCAGACTAGAGAAAGGTAGTTTCTGTGATGAAACTTCCCCACTTTTCGCCAAGAGAAATAAGTCTTTCAGTTCAGACGCTAGACACGCATAAAATAACAGCTTCCAAGAGGGCTCTGTCCTTCAGGACCTAGGCTTTACCAGCCAGGCAGTTAAAGTCAGTGACCAAGAAGCAGGGTGTAATACAAGTCCTTGGGAAAGTAGTACTGGACAATCTGGAAGTTCCCACAAGAGTCTGCCAGGAGTTTGACTATGACCACATACCATGGTCTTCTGGGCCGATTGGGAGCAATGAGGATAACCAGAATGCCCTCTGTATCGATCCTGTGAAGGAGGTTAGGCATGAGTTTTAGAGGAGAGAAGGCATAAATCCTGCTGAACTGATCCCATGCAGTTACCAAGGCATCCAAAGCAAAGGAGGGAGCTCCAGGAGGTCCACAGCCAGCATCCTCCAATTGAGCCAAAGGTCCCAAGACACCTCCGGGTGAGGGGAGCATTCTCTGGAATCCAGACGTTGATGACTATGAAAGTCCACCTGACAATTTTTTACATCTGGAATGTGCACAATGGACAAGGCTGGGATGTAAAGTTCTGCCCAAGTCAGGATCAGGTGCGCTTCTCTTTGAGCTGGGCAACTTTTGATGCCTCGCTGATAGATGATGTAAGCCATGGCTGTGGCATTGTTCGACTGAATCCTGGTTGGGTGGCACTGTAGTTAGGGGGTCCAGTGTTGGAGGGACAACTTAATCGCCCTGAGCCAAGGATGTTGATTAGGAGATGAGATTACTCCATTGACAATGTTTCTTGAAACAATATGTTTCCTAGGGCTCCTCCCCAGGCTCATAGGCTGGCATCCATTGTTAGCACCTTCCATATATCGGTAGGAAGGATTTCCCTAAATCCAGTGCTGGGTTTTAGATTGACATTTCAGGGCAAGCTTTGTCTTGCTGGGCAAGTAAATGGAGAGGTCAAGGGACTGAGTTTGTTTGTTTCACACAGCCAGAATGCTGAGTTGAAATTGAGCATAGGAAACTGCCTCGAAGGTGGCTATCATCAAACTCAACACTTTCATGCAAAAGGAAACAGCCGGACATTTCTGGACTGCAAGGTCCGAGCACAAGAGTGTAAAGATAGGAGCTTTTCTGGGAAGAGAAAATGTCCAAGATCCGACCTAGGTACTGCAAATCAATGCTCTGTAGGGCTTGTATTGTCTGATGAAGACCCAAGTAACATTGGACAGGCCGAATGGAAAGACAACAAATTGGTAGTGTTGTGCACTCACAGAAAAGCATAGGTAGCGTTGATGGGAAGGAAAATGGGGATGTGCAAATATGCATCCTTTATGTTCACTGACACCAGAAAAATGCCCAGGTGAAGGGAGGCGATGAATAGGATGAATGTGTGGTAATATCCCTCTGCTATATAGTTGATGAATATTTATTTTATTTTTGCATGATCATAATTTTTGACCACATTGTGTATTAAAAATCTTAGAAATATGGGAATATCAGAAGAATTTATAGAGTAGGAATGGTTAACTTGAAGAGAGATGTGTACAGGTGAAACTCGAAAAATTAGAATATCGTGCAAAAGTTCATTTATTTCACTAATGCAACTTAAAAGGTGAAACTAATATATGAGATAGACTCATTACATGCAAAGCAAGATAGTTCAAGCCGTGATTTGTCATAATTGTGATGATTATGGCTTACAGCTCATGAAAACCCCAAATCCACAATCTCAGAAATTTTTTGGCAGTGTGGGCAGGTGCCAAGTCCTGCTGGAAAATGAAGTCAGCATCCCCATAGAGCTCGTCTGCGGAAGAAAGCATGAAGTGCTCCAAAATCTCCTGGTAGACGGCTAAGTTGCATTAGTGAAATAAATGAACTTTTGCACGATATTCTAATTTTTTGAGTTTCACCTGTATGTGTTTGATTATAAAGGGAACAACCAGCAGTAGAAGGGTTAATGCAAATGCTGTAAAGCGCATCACTGTTTTTTTTTTTAAATACCTTGCTAAGCAAAGATTTACTTACCTAAATACACCATCCCTGTCCTTCTCCACCATCGTCTCTGGGTGCAGGGGACTGGTAATCCAGCGATGTAGATGTGTCTGTGCCAGCTGGTCCCCAACACTCCCCTTTTGCTGACATCACCACTGAGAATCCCCTTCTGGATTCTGAGAGCACCCTGCTGCTGGACAGCAAATAGGGAGTGTCCTTGTCACACAGGCATTGATGTGGACACACAAAGAAAAACCCAACCTCCTGTACATAGCAGAAGAGAGAACATTCGGGAGTAGAATTTCATATGAACATTTTAGGTAAATAAAAAAGAGCATTTTTGAATTTTTCTTATTATGATTTGCGATTAGTTGGGGGGTGGGTTGAAGGCTGGAGTGGGGTTTAGGTGATTAAATGCATTGCCAGCTCAGTGCCTTTGAAGAAGTCTCTGACAAAATATGTCAGAGATACGATGGCTGCCTTTTTTATTGCAATGATTTTAAGTGCTTTTACATTTTACTAAAGCAGATTTATACTCCAAAGACTTTTTATGTTTCTGATATGATAACACCATCATTATGGATCCTCTAAAGAGACAGATGAAGAGAAGACAAGATCCAAGGGGATCATGGGTTGTACTCCTCCTGCACAGATAAGGTTCCTGTAAAGGTGGGAGTTGGGAGAGTTGAAAGTGCGTCACGTGAGCGTTCAGTGTTAATCTAGTAGTCGAAAGGCACAAACGTGTTTTGGCCACTTTTATTGTTGGTCCATCAGTTCATAATAGGCAGTGGGGGGGTTAAGCAGCGGGCACAGGCAGTGGTAATGTATAGTCTGCATATAAGGTTTTACTAGACCCTGGCTTGATATTGCAACTAAAAACATTGTTTCTAATAGTAGAAATTAACAAATGTGTGTAGATTTGCTTCACACAAGGAACTACATCAATGCTATATTAACAAGTCTTATATAGAACTGCTGACATCAAGTGAGATTCGAGCAGCTGGCATTTTTTGGCTGCATTGTTCAAATTTTAACAAGCAACTCCTCATTGTGCTCACCTTCACACAATAATGGTCTTCTGTTCTTCAATTTGTATCCTGTCTGACATTCACATTTATAGTAACCAGGAAAATTGACACAGCTGCGAGACTCTCCACACATTCCGGACCGCAAGCACTCATCGACATCTGGGATAGACTATATTGTTAGAACAGGGACAGGACCTCTGATAACGTATTTAACATTGTATTACTTCTATTTAAGGACATTTGTGTTGGCCATAAATCCTATACCATGGTCAGGTATAAAGTATGTGTGCAATTTACCACAAAACTATTTTTATATTTTTCAAATTAGTACACAGGGTACTATACTCTATAGGTTTTCTTTATGGTGCATACCATAAACAATCAACCAATTATACCACTATACCACTTATACCACAATAAACAATCAACCAATAGTGATGAGGTCAGCACCCCAACAAGCACCCTATACTGCAAAAATCACCAGGATCAGGCCCTGAACATGAAACATTGGTACCTTAAGTAATTATGTGAATAATTATAGCTTGGTAATCACAATCATAGGTAAAAATTAAATGGAAGCTGTCTCACTTTTTAGTTCCTTATTGCTAAAAACACCTAGTACACTGGTTGTTTGGGAAAATAAACAATGATTTTCTGTATACAGTAAATATACTACACATACTGTACTTTTCCACATACTTTTTTAAATACATTTTGCACCTGTTTAATTAGTACGCATAGTTCAAGAAATATTACTATAATATGCTGACTGAGTTTATTATAATATGCTCATTATATAGGAGTACATTCATAACAAAGATTGGATTACTGACAACTAAAAGATATTACAAGAAAAATACAATATTGTATGAAGTGCAACACATTAATGAATATACACTATCCTGATTTACCATTTATTTTTCCCTGGAAAATCACAGGTAATGTTGCTGTCTAACTAATACTGTCTGGTAATGTTCCTGCCTAACTAATAACATTATCAACCACCATTTTTTATATTGTGGCAAACAGGGCAAGATAGAAATTAAAATAGTTCCCTTACCCACACAAGATCTTGTTCCATGTGTTACATCCAGTCTGTACCCGTGATGACAATGACAGTTAAATGAGCCAACAGTGTTGAGGCATAATCCTTTTCCATGGCCACATGGGTCACTCTTACATTCATCAACATCTAGGGTACAGCAACAAATACACATTGCATAGTAGAGAGCATTAAGCACAAAATTTCCATATGTATTGTTTGATACTGTAAATTACACATTGTACAAAAAAAACCTACTATTTTGTATCTCGTTTATTTTATCTGGTTTGTATGTGCTGTAAGAGGTATGATACTTGCAGAGCCGGACTAACACCGGGCCTGGTGTGGGAGCTCCACCCACCCCTGCAAATAGACCCGGCCAAACCAAGCCGACACAGAGTCGCGACCAGGCCGAGCTGACCATGCAGCAGCGGCCCTCTATTCAATCATATCAGAGGGCTCTCTGATATGCCTGAGTAGAGAGCCGCATCTCCTGCAGCTGCAGCCTCCAGTCTCTCTGACCCCAGGGCCGGATTGACAGGGGCAGGTGAGCTCCCGCTCCAG